TATTTAAAAATAAATAAATAAAACATCAATAAAAAGTTAAATAAAATAATTTTATTTTTAAATTGAGACATTTAAATTTTATTAAATATAATACATAATTAAATAGTAGAGGGTCAAAATGGTCATTTCACCACCTAATTCCAACAGCAAATAATCCCCCCAAAATTATCCCACACCCCCCCTAGGATAATATAATCCCCTATATGGGGGATAAGGAGTCCGGCGGACTAAAAAAAAAAACAAACATTGGATTGGATTTATTGTGCAGATTACAATCCGCACAGTAAATAATCCCCCCTTATCCCCCCAATCAAACACACCCATAATGTAATGATTATAAGTTGGATATAACATTTTGTTTTATTGGATTAAAAAGCATATTTTTTCTTTTTGTGACTAAAATAATTCCAAACCCAACTCAACCCAACCTAACCTCAGTTACCAAACGAAGACTAAGGCCTTGTTTGGTTTGTTTTTCAAAAAAATTTTTGAGAAAAATTCTCTACAAACAAATTTTCAAGAGTAATCAAGTCAAACAAATTTTTTCAAAAAAAATCTCAAAATTTTGTTTGGTTACCTACATTTCAAAATCACACTCTCTCTTATACACATCAAATCAATCATTTTTTTAAAACTCTCTCCTAAAACAATTTTTCAAAACCATTTCTGAAAAAAAACAAACCAAACAAGTTTTGTATTTTTTATCTCAAAAATTACTCTATAAACATAAACCAAACACACCCTAAGTCTTACTTTTTCATAAAAAAAGAAAAGAAAAAAAAGTAGTTTAAAGAAACGAAAATGAACAAATCTAGCACTCCTCCGTATGTACAACTTGAATAGCATGTCAAAATGACAGAAAAATGAGAGGCAAGAGATTAGACTCCATCAAAGACTTAACTCATTGGACCTATCACTCAACTCTGGTACTATAATCACGTATCTAACTCAGATAAATTTTGAACTAGTCGAATTTGAGCAATAGATAAAGCTTAGTGGGCCCCTGTTAAGTCCTAGGCTTTTGGTGACTTTGGACTCGTGAAAAGAACAGCCCAAGACACTGGCCATTTTTCTTGGGCTTCCAAATCAACTAAATGAAGGGTCGAGACATCTCGAAGCCCACGACCCATTAATGATCTATTTCATCACAAAAGAAAATCGGTTTCGTTGTGGACCGGTCTTCTATGAGAGAAAGCCCATTAATAAAATTGAGGAGAAATTACATTTAGGTGGGCAGAAGAAATTAATCTCAGGCGCTGTTTGGGAAGTTAGTTTTTAGTTTTTTTCGCTAAAAGATAAATTGGTTACAAAATTAAAAAAAAAATAAATTCAAATAAAATATCACATCAAATCTCATAATCATTTCACTTTTTCTCTCACAAATATCATATCGAACCACAAAAAAAACAACTATCTTTCCAAACACAAATTTTTTTTTCTTCAATAATATCCTACAACTAAAAAAACCTATAAAAAAATTCACTTCCCAAACACTCACAAAGTGTTGACCCAGAATTTCAATATATCCACTTCGCTCTTTATGGTTTAAATTTTTCTTAAAATTAAATTTTATTTAAATTAGACAAAAAAATATCATAATATATATCACATAATATAAAATATATTTTTATATTTAGATTTAAATTTATATTAAAGACGTAAATTATATATAATAAAATATTTTTATATCACGTGATTGTCAATATATCATTTTATGTTTAATTTTTAATAGAAATTAATTTTATGAGTAGATTGAAAAAAATTTAAAACAAGCCAAAGTAAAAAAAAAAAAATAAAAAAAAATTTAAGAATCAAAATGAAATGTGACCAAACTAAAAAAAGACAAACTGTCACACTATTTGACATAAATCAAATAAGTGTATTTATTTAGGTCACATTATCTCTTTATTTTTTTACACATATTTTTAGAAATTGGTATGAACCTTAATAATTTACCAAATCTCTTACATGGATGTGAGATCCACGCAAATTCACATGTATGTGGATTCTATATTCATATGAGAGATTTGATAAAACACTTCATAAATTATTTGAAATCTCTAATATTATTTCGTATTTTTATAAAAAATTTAAAAATATAATTATTTAAATCCTCCTAAACAAACGTAACCTAAAATTTAGGTTTTGTTTGGGAAGACTAAATAAGTTTACACTTTTTATCTTTTTTAAGTCACATCAGTCAACATCTCTTCTCTACTTTTTTACAGATCTTTTTATAAAAAGTTAAAAAATACACTTATTTAGAACATCCTAAACAACCCCTTAAAGTAATGATACATTTTTTTAATTTTGAAACTCTAATCATATAATAGAAAATAAAAAAATAAAAAAATAAAATCAAAATCAAAACATCATATCACAATAAAATCTATTTTTACTAAAACTTTTTTACTAAAATTCCTAAGAGCATCTCCAACCCTGAATCAAAGTTTTCATCAAATCTGAGTAAAAAAATAATTTTTTCTTCAATCTGATACTGAGTGCTCCAACGGTTGATTTTCATCAAATTTTCATCAAATCTGTGCTGGGATAACCGGTTGGTCGACCGGTTAAGCCAATTTTTTTTTGTTTTTTGATTTTTTTTTTGAATTTTTTGAACCTTTTAGTGGTCGACCGGTAAGGCAAATTTTATTTTTTTCAACCGGTTGGTCGATCGGTTAAGCCAATTTTTTTTTGTTTTTTGATTTTTTTTTTGAATTTTTTGAACCTTTTAGTGGTCGACTGGTAAGGCAAATTTTATTTTATTTTTTTCAACTGTTTGACTTTTTTTTTAGAACTGTTTGAACCTTTTGGTGGTCGACTGGTTGGTCAACTGGCCGGTCAACCGGCTGGTCGATCGGTTAGTCTCCCCCAACGGCCATGCACAGTGTTTTGATGAAATGCGAAGCCTGTCTTTATTATGGTGAAACGTTTGGTAAAATCTCAAATTTAATATTAATTTGGTGAAACTGTTTGAACATAAAAAAATATTTTTTTTATTAAATTTTAAATTTAATGTCAAATTTAATTCAGAATCGGAGATGGTCTAACCATTTTTCCAAAATTTATAACCAAACTTGGAGATAAGCCTCCACCGTTTGTGTGTGGGAGAAAATAACGTATAGCTTTAGCTTTGCGTGTGCGTCGGTTGTTGAATTTACACGTCATTCACTACGCATGCCTCTCCTATTTTCTAGATTATTGTAGAGGGGCATTTTCGTCTTAAACACCCCAATCATCCCCTTTAAATTCAATCCATTCCAACGCTAACTCCTTCATTGATTCATCCTCATCTCATCCTCATCTTGTACATCTTCCAATTTTCTCCCAATTCTCCCAAGGTAATCAGGGTTTTTCTCCAATTCTCTTTCTGCTTCAATTAAATTGCTATTTTTATTTTTATTTTTTATAACAAAGATCTCTGTTTTTATAACATAGATCTGTGTTAGAGAAAGTATTGTGTTTGTTGATCGCGCGATGTTCTTCTGATCTGTTTGTCTATGGAAGAATTACTTGATTGCTCGATCACACGATAATATATAAATAATTTTGATAGTTGAATAAGATCTTAGTTTTTGAAGATCCTGTTGTTGAAACAGTTTTAGAGCGTGTTGTTTTTGTTGATTGCGCGATGTTCTTCAGATCTGACTGTGTGGAGAAGATTTTTTTGATTGTTCGATAGCGATCTCGTATAATTTCAAAAGTTGAAACAGATCTGATTTGGTTTTTGATTGATTCATACAGATGCAGATCTTCGTGAAAACCCTCACCGGCAAGACAATCACCCTCGAGGTGGAAAGCTCCGACACCATCGACAACGTCAAGGCCAAGATCCAGGACAAGGAGGGCATCCCACCGGACCAGCAAAGGCTCATCTTTGCTGGAAAGCAACTCGAGGACGGCCGAACCCTCGCCGACTACAACATCCAGAAAGAATCGACCTTGCACTTGGTGCTCCGTCTCAGAGGCGGTATGCAAATATTCGTGAAGACTCTCACCGGAAAGACGATTACCCTTGAGGTTGAGAGCTCCGACACTATCGACAACGTCAAGGCCAAGATCCAGGACAAGGAGGGAATCCCACCGGACCAGCAAAGGCTGATCTTCGCCGGAAAGCAGCTCGAAGACGGGCGTACCCTCGCAGATTACAACATCCAGAAAGAATCCACCCTTCATTTGGTGCTCCGTCTTAGGGGTGGAATGCAGATCTTCGTCAAGACCCTCACCGGAAAGACCATCACTCTTGAGGTTGAGAGCTCTGACACCATTGATAACGTCAAGGCCAAGATCCAGGACAAGGAGGGAATCCCACCAGACCAGCAGAGGCTCATCTTTGCAGGCAAGCAGCTCGAGGACGGCCGCACCCTCGCCGATTACAACATCCAGAAGGAGTCTACCCTCCACCTTGTGCTCCGTCTCAGAGGTGGAATGCAGATCTTCGTCAAGACATTGACTGGGAAGACGATCACTCTTGAGGTTGAGAGCTCCGACACCATAGACAACGTGAAGGCGAAGATCCAAGACAAGGAGGGTATTCCACCAGACCAGCAGAGGCTCATCTTCGCCGGCAAGCAGCTTGAAGACGGCCGTACCCTCGCCGATTACAACATCCAGAAGGAGTCGACCCTCCACTTGGTGCTCCGTCTGAGGGGTGGTATGCAGATCTTCGTCAAGACCTTGACTGGTAAAACCATCACCCTTGAGGTCGAGAGCTCCGATACCATCGATAACGTGAAGGCGAAGATTCAAGATAAGGAGGGCATTCCTCCGGACCAGCAGAGGCTCATCTTCGCGGGCAAGCAACTTGAAGATGGCCGTACTCTTGCCGACTATAACATCCAGAAGGAGTCGACACTTCATTTGGTGCTCCGTCTCCGTGGTGGGATGCAGATTTTTGTGAAGACCTTGACTGGGAAGACCATCACTTTGGAGGTGGAGAGTTCTGACACAATTGATAATGTGAAGGCTAAGATTCAGGACAAGGAGGGGATTCCACCGGATCAGCAGAGGCTGATCTTCGCTGGGAAGCAGCTGGAGGACGGAAGGACTTTGGCTGACTATAATATTCAGAAGGAGTCCACCCTGCATCTTGTCCTTCGCCTCCGTGGTGGTTTCTGAGTGTTCTGGGGATATGGGTCCTTAAGTCTTTTCTGTCATGTGTTGTTTTGTGGTTATGAAGTACTCTTTTTTTTTTTTGGCTTAGTTTTTTTCTTTTGTTATGGTGTTTGTCAATGATCTCATGCGGCCAATGGCCGTGAAGATAATGTTGGGTCAGTCCTTAATAAATAAAAGCCTTGTTTTTATGTAAGTTTCTGCGTTCTTTTCCCTTTCATCATTGTTTTGATTACGATCTCTGATACAATGAACGTTTTTCTTTTTCAGTTTTCAATCATACATTGTAATGTTTATCAAAGTGGCTTTCACTTCAAAAATTATTGGTTGTTCAACCAATGACAAACCTCCCACTTTTTTTTAATTACCCTACAGTTTTTCAATTCACCCGACAAAAAATCATAAGCTCTCTATACCAATCACAACACATGGAGTGTGGCACTGTCTGAATCAACCAATAACTTCTGTCCTGAATCAACCAATAACTTCTTTGGCTTGCATTCACAATTTACTGTGCCGGCAATTCTTTCCTTGTCACCACCTCTCACCCATGGAAGCTTTTGGTGCTATTGTGCTCTGCTATGTTACCATTTTCTTGTGCATGGGGGTTTGGCTTCTTTTTGTTATATTGAATGGCAAGATAAAATTGTTGTTTTTGTTATATTGAATTGCTACATAAAATTGTTAATTTTCTTTGCCAGATGTTAGTGTCATTGGGTATCGTTATGATATGCCTATCATTGATATCGGTATGGCATTATTGCTTCTCTGTTGTGCTGAAGTTGTCATCTTGGTTTGTAGATCTTGGTACGTTAAACAATCCCTTTGGCTGTATGTTTTGCCCTGTTTTTTCCTTGTACTGATGCGCGTGGATCTCTTTGTGAATTGGTGCCTACTTGTCCAAGCAGGATGTGGAAACTATATGTCATCTCTTTACTTATTACTCCTTGGCTGTGGAGAGCTTTGGAGTTTGTTTCTTGCTTTGTTTGACATGGTGTGCGGTTTTCCCGTTCATAGCTTACCCATTCTTGGAGAGGGGCTAGAGTGGAGTAAAGGAAGAAGGCATGGTATTTTTGTGGCCATTGGCTTTAATGTGGAACTATTTGGTGAGAACAGAATTGGAGGAATTTTTGATGGTTTGGAGACTCTTGTTTTCATCTTGGAGAGTATAATTTAGGTCATTGTATAGTTGGTTCTCACGAGGAGGTATCCCTACTTGAACCAACTGTTAGATTTAGAGTTTTTGGAATAGAAGTGAATCAATCTATGTTCTAAAAATTACTTATGGGGATTTAGAGAGGGATTTGGAAAGGGAAAGGGAAAAGGTGTGTGAAACTAGGTGAAATTTAGACATGTTTTCTTCATATTTCACCTACTTTTTCCATTTCCTTTTCCAAATCCCTCCTCAAATCCTCCAACCAAACACAACATTACCTGTTTTCTTTCGTTTTCAAGATCCGTTTTTATTTATTTTTATAAAAAACCTAAAGCTAGTTTGGTGGTAAAACTGCAATCCCTGTAAGCCTTATACAGGGTCAGAGGACCTAGTCTATGATTAAGCGCTGCACTGCTTGAGAAATCAAGCCATTATCATGTCTTGGATGATATTTATTTTTTCCATTATATTTTTAATTCCTAGCTGGTATTTCGGCATTAATGGGTAGTGCTCTGCTTTTGCAATTTTTAATTGCCATGTATCATCCTATTAGTTGTACTACGTGTGTTGCTATGTCTGTTGCTGTTCCATCTAGGATCTTCCTATGCTTTTATTCTGAGCTAGTTTTCTTCATGATGTACTACTGACAACCCATGTTAGCAAAACTGTTTTGTGGAATATGCCTTTTTTTTTTTTTAGGAAAATGTATTTCTAAAGTGATGATAATGTGATAAGAGGAAGCTGCAAATCTGTTGAGGTTTGGACTTACGCGGTCATGAAGAGGAGTATGATTTGGCTACCCATGTTCTTTGTATCCTTGGTTTCATAAGCAGGTGACAATGTTGTGTATTAGGTTTAATTTGAGGGGGGTGTTGTTTCCTTGGCCACTTCGTTTAATGTTCATCTTGAGTTTCCTTGGAGCTGGCAAGAAATACAGCAGGGGAATTGTGAGTCAATATAAAGTGTAATGTAAGAAATATTTGAGTTGACTGCATTATGGATATCTAGAGTTGGTATTTTTGATGTTATTGGAATTGAATTTGTAGGTTATGTTTGGAAGCTTGAAAGTCGAAGGGTCAAATGTGGATTTAATGACATTTTCTAAAGCTGCCAGAGTATCTGTAATAATTAAACCATCAGATGATTTTGAAGTTCCTCATATGTAATTTCCTATTTCTTTAGTTAATTTTTTCTTTACGTTGTGTTTAGTTGAGAGATTTGGAAAGGGATTTGAAAAGGAAAAGAAAAAAGGTAGGTGAAATAGAAATAAAATATACTTATATTTTACATAATTTCACATATTTTTTCCCTTTCTATTTCTAAATCTTTTTCCAAATCTCTCAAATAAACACAGCGTTAGTCTTCATATATTTGTGAGGGAGTTGGTTTTGGGCACAGTTGGCCATGATATGTAGGTTCTGGGTTGTTAGTTAGCAGGTTGCGGTTATGGTGGTCTACGATTTTTGCCCATATACGTATATGTGTGTGGTCTCTAGACCATTTTCTTTCAAAAAATCAAATTTCTATTTTGTCATCAATGTTAGTAAGTTTAGAAACACCACTCCTAAGTTCATTTATAGCTTCTTCGGGTTAGTTTTAAAATACCATTTGTCATGGGTATTATTTCCATGGTTTCTAGTCTGCATTGTTGCGGTTCTCTCACCAATATTCTCTTTTTTCTTTCTCTGTATACAGTCCTCTAGTGATTATCTGAATTCTTTGTATGCAGGCCATGAATAGAGAGGATTAAATACCAAATGGGATTGGCACATACTGTTGGTACTAATGCTCTGGACCAGTTTAAATGTTTTGGTTTATACATTTTTTCAATATTACAGTGTCTCTACAGCTCATTTGGTTCTTTTTGATCTTTTGTCAAGTGTTTGGCTCCACAGTCTTGGATTCCGAGGTCTCAAGTGAACATGATGACATCCAAAGTCATTTGGCAATTGTTCTTTGTAAACAGTCGAGTCCATGCATTTAATGCTCTTGGTAAATTGTTCTCTGTTTTTATGACGAATCTCTCTGTCCTCTAGAACCTGCAATTTCTGTCTTATTTTTCACAATCAATTAATTTCTTGACATAAATTGAGTCTGATCTATTTATTTATTTGGTTGCAGAAATAAATTTTTATTGAGGTGTTTGTTCAATTGTACCGTGGTTATCCTTTCAATAAGTTGGTGGTGCTGGTGACATTGCAAAGAATTGCACTTGTTTTCTTCATCTCTCATTGTGGACCCAGACAAGCACCATGTATACATATAGGGCCTACCACACACGTTTCATTATTTTCTAGGTTGGTAAGTCGTACATGTGCACACGTCATTTTTTTTCTTCGAGAAAATGGTTGTGGAATATTATTCTTCAATTTTCATACTAATTTTCTCTTTTAGGTCCATTATTGCGTTTTGATGATATCGAATTTCTTTCCCTCATGGGCTATGTATGGTTCTAGCTGTGTAGAAGATCAAGTTAATCGTCCCATATTTGAGGATAATCTGATGCGAGCTCAATTCCTCTTTCAGCATCCTTGGAAACCAAAATCATTACAAGGTTCAGTTATATGAAATGCATCCTTTGCGCCATTACCATTATATTATTAATTGTGATTATTTTTGGATATTTTATAATCATTTTGAAATATACTTATGAAAAAAGAAACCTAGAAAATATCTATAATTTAAATATTTAGAATGTGTATAGATGAAACATAATTTAAAATATGTATGAATGAAAATGATTCTAGATGCACTTGTCACACCCTACACCAACCACACCGAGTTTAAATCATTATAAATTCAAATTTTGAGCACTGTATGTTTCAAATTAATTAACTTTTCTATTATGTGAGGGCTACGAGGGCAAGTCCTAGGATTGAGAACTTTGCCATTGTGAGTGATTATTCTCTGGTGGTGGTGGGAATTTATAGTATGTTTGAGAGTTTGCATGGAGGGTATGTCAGGGGTGATGCCAAGAACTATTGAAAAAAAGGTTTTATGGTAATTTTTTTTGTTAATATCTAATTGATCCCATTTAAAAAAATAAGGAACCCATTTATTAGAAATCAAAACTCCGTACATAATTTTTGCTTGTGAAATTAGCATTACTGTTACCGGTTGCAACTCTTATAATAAAAAGAGTTTTCTCGAAAATGAAATATATAAAGAATCGTATGGGAGATCAATGTCTTCGTCACATATATAAAAAAATAAAGTGTTTTGACACTATTGACAATGAGATACCATGCAATGATTCCAAAAATCACAACTTGTCGAATGCAATTGTAAAAATATATATATCAAAATTGACATCTCATCGAAATTATTGAAGTTTATATATATTTGTTTTGTTAAGACAATTGTATTTTATTAAAAGTTTATTCTACTTTAAATTTGAGAAATTCAAATGTTAATTTGTTTATAGTTTTTTTTCCTGTCATAGAATATGTGGAACTTAACTTTTTGGAGTGACCCATCTATCAAAATTTCTGCAGATACGTGGTGGATAGGTAAGCTAGGCAGATGGGTGGGGTTAGGCAGGGTGGTGAGGTGGCAGGATTGGTGCTTCCACGTAAATTGACATGCAAATGCTGCCATAGAGGTATGTTGTTTGGTTCTTCAACTGTTTTTTTTTTTAATTTAAAAATTGTTAAATCCATTTATTTTACTGTTGCAGGCAGGCTTCTGAAATATGATTATGTTGCAAACATGGAAAACAAAAAACTTGCATGTGAGATTAGTTCGTCTGATATATTATCAGTGTTGAGTAAACAAAGCACATACTCAGACATATCCCTCTGTTTTTTTAAATTGTTTTATATTATTAGGGTCTAAGGCAAGATATCATAAATATTTACGGAAGAGGTGATAAAAAAAAGCTTGCACTGTTAGTGGATGCCTGAACATAAAACGTTTTTTAAGCAGCATTATAAACTGTTTGGGAACAAATTAATGTGAATGGGGCTTTTGAAAGAAAGGGTGGTATATTATATTGGTGGTTGTAACAAATTGTGATAATGTTGTTCTCTTTGCCTAATCAATCTCTGTTTCTGGTTTAGTGATTTTTGTCTCAGCTGGAATGGCTTTGATGGTTTGTTCCTTGTTTGGTGTCTAGGTCTAGGTCTAGAGTGTTTAGTCTTTGTTCTCAAGTTTGTGCTATCTTGTTTGTGTCAGTTTTATCCTCTTTTTTCTTTGGATCTCATAAATATGTCTTGTTCTTTTCATGTTATGCAATTTCTTTTTTTGTTAGAAGAAAAAGAAGAACAAGAAAGGCAGCTACTGATTTGTTGAGAGAAGTTTTCCAGTCACCCTAATTGGTTTTGAGTTTTTTTTTCCAGTATTTTTTTGTTTTAGTAAACTTATTTTTATATTTTAATATATTTTTCTTTTTAAATGTACTTAATATAGATTTAGACACACTTAAAAAGTAACATATTTGTGAATTTTTTTTCCCACTGAATACAACAAAAGAAAAGAAAATAATATAAAAATCTGTAAATTTTCGTATTCTTTTTCAGTTTTTATTTATTTTTATTTTTTTATAAATATTTTACTTTCTAATTATATTTAGATTAGGTGCACATGCATGTAAAAAGTTAAAAAATTATTGAAATATGAAAAAAAATAAAAATCAAAACTCAAAAACACTTTTCAAAAGCAAAACCAAAATGTAATTATTGAAGAGTGTTAGATGATAATAATATTTTTATTTTATTGTATTTTGAAAAAATAGATGATTTATTTTTAAAAACATATTTGTCATTCATTTTTTTTTGGAAATGAAAGTAATAAAATAAAATGTTATGATTATCAAATCAATTTAATTTTTTCCATAAAAGATATACATTAAAAGTCTTTAGATCATCAAAATAAGACTCATAATATGAACTCCACAAAAAAATCTATTAGCCTCACCCTGATACAAATTGCACAATATTTTAGAATCCCAAAATATTTAATAAAGTTTAAATTACTTTTCCAACAACTTTTAATTTGCAATTTCATGTTCTTGTTTTCTTCAACTCTTGGATGTTGGTCACATGATTCTTCATCTTGAACTTGAAATCTTTTCTATTTCCAGTACTCTTGAATACACCATCTTGATAGCAATCTCCATGCTAACCTTGTGTTCTTTAATATGCCTTTTTATGTTTCTTCATTTTTCTATTCCCCTGGAATTTTTCTTTTGCTTCATATTGAGGATCAAAAATTGCTCACCCTGTATCAAAACTGAATTTCTCCACACATAATTGATTAATTTTTCATCATTTTTGTTATTTTGCAAATAACACATGCCCACTTGGCCAATTGTGTTTTGCTCATCATTGTTTCATGCTTCTTTTCCAACTCCAGAAATTTTTAATTTCTTACATTTCAAATTTTCTCCAATTTTCTGTTCAAGCTTTTAATTTTGCAATTATCTTTTTTCGTTTTTCAAAATTTTCTTCATCCTCGATGTCCTTTTCAGTTTTAGCTTTACTAACATTGCTATAAAAAGTTTCTTACCAAAAAATGTCTCTTCATTAAAATCTTGTATTCAACATTCCATTATTGCTAAAGATTGCCTCCTATGATTGCTTCTGTCATATCATACTTGACTTCTTTAATATCTTCATTGCTTTTTTGTTATTTTGTTTTTTGCTTGAATTCACTCAACTTGCGGCTTTCTGGATTTGCAAAAAAAATACACTATAAATTGCATGCTATAGAATTTACGTGCGAGTTTTGATACCTGAAAAAATATAGTTAAAGAGCACAGTTTTTTCACAATATGGGATCAAAGAATTTTTTTATTTTTTTTTGTCTCCTTTCCTTTAAAAACTGATGCTTGGTAGCCACTAGTAGCTTGCTGTGCTGCCGACAGTCGATAGCAGGAGATGGTAGTCGCAGTGATCTCCGGAGAGAGATTCTTATTAAAGTAGCCTTTATTTTTGTAAGATAAATTGATAGAGAGAGAAGTAGAGAATAATTTGTATTGATGAATATTGTATTGAATGTTTTTGATAGATATTACAAAGGTTCAGTTGAACTCCTCTATATAGGAGAGGAGCCGAAAGTTGCACTAATAAAATAAAGTAAAAGGAAAAGAAATATACCCTACTAACAGCTGATATACACTAACATAGAATAATATACTAACAGCCCCCCTCAAACTCAAGGAGGATAGGCACTAGCCAACTTGAGTTTGGAGAGAGTCACAAAACAGAAAAATAAACTGATAAATAAAACAGGATAGGAGACACGGTATGGTCGTGTCAGACCGATGTAGCAGACAGTTTATGGGGTCATGTCGGACCGTTGTAGCAGACAGTTTACGGGGTCATGTCGGACCGATGTAGAAGACAGTTTACGGGGTCATGTCAGACCGATCAAATGTGAGGGTTGAGTTGGGAGGGAGGGAGGAGTGTGTTGGTAATTTGATTGAAGGATAGAAATGTAATAAAAAAAAATTAGAGAAAAAATATGCACTGAGTTAATCAAGTGTGTGGAAATAGAATTTCCCTCAAGCAGGCCTTCTAATCTTGTAGAAAAAAATCCCAACTACTGTTGTAAAAGGCACACCTAAGCGCGTGTTTAGGCTTGAGGGGCACTTAGGGCACCTAGGACACCTTAACAACTTGAGGAGAGGTGCAGTAGACA